GCGGCCCTTTGTGTGGTCCCGAGAGCCGGGCCGCTCGGGCGCCTCTTTGCCCGGCTGTCCCCGGGCTCCGTGCCACCGGGCACCGAGCAGAGTCCCCGAGTGCTCGGGGCGGGCACGGGAGTCCCGGAGCTCAGGTCTGCAGGTAAGGAGTGGGCCGAGGCGGAGCTTGGGGGTCACCCACCCAGTGGCCCGTCACCGCGGCCTCTGAGCGACCCCACGTGAGAGACCTGCACCCGTGTGCCCGCACCTGTCGCATCTGTGTGGCTGTGGGTGCGGATGAGTCGGTGCTGTGATGTCCCGTGTGTGTGCGTGTGCGTGTGTGAGTGCGCGCGCTCTGCCACCCGGTGTGCGGGTACCGCGGCCTCTGTCTGGAATCTGGGAGGGAGTCGGGATCACGTTTGAGGGGATGAGGGGATGGGAGAGGGTGAACGATGTGGGAGAGTGTGCCCACATCCATGGCCCCTGACTACGGGGTGTGTAGGACAGCGGATAACGCGGTGGTTTCTAAGACTTTGGGAGGGGGTGGGTGGGATTTTGTGGGGAGGGACCGAGAATGGGTCACCCAGGATCCTAAAACTAGCCAACTGGAATCGTGTGACCAAGTTTCAGAATCACTGATTTAGTGGGTTGGAGGATTGTGGAGTCAGTCTGAATTTTATTTGCTCTTGGTGCTGCTACTAGTTATGTGTTTTCATTCTTTGACTTGAAAATCTAGAACGCCTTTGGTTAAAATCATCAACTAGGAAGTGACTTGGGCATGGACTAAATCACTTGTCAAATTTCTAGGTGTTCCTTAGGGGCTCTCTTTGAAGGAAGCGTGGAACTGGAAAAAGACGTCACTCTCTAGACTGGTCGATTCCGGAGGCGACAAGGAAAGCCTGGTTTCTCGCTTTCCTTCCATTTCGTTTATCTAAGGGCCTTGCTGTTCCCCAGAAGAGCCAGGAAGAGGAGAAAATGGCTGTTGGACTTCTGAAAGCTATGTACCAAGTAGGTTTTTATCTTCTTTCTTGCCTGACATACCTACCTGCTTCCCAAAACAAGTAGACATTAGCTTTCCTTCTGCTGAACCGTCTCTGGGTTATCAATTATATCACTGCACAGTAGTTTCTCACCTTATTAAGGATAAATGAAGTACTTGATTTGGCCTGCAGGGACCAACATAACCTAGTCCCTTATTATCCTGCTGAGTTTATCAAATTCTTCTTACTCTGTCTGTAACTCATTCAGCTCCAACCAGACTTGTAGGGTGCTAAGGACATTCTTAATTCATGGCCTTGTACTTGCCCAGGTGCAGACCAACTACTTCATTCTAATCTTTGCCCACACAGCACTCATGTATTCACAGATTTTTGTTAAGGAAGTATTAACTTTGGGTACCACAGGGTTTAATATTTGGTTTTCTCTCTATCTCTTTTTGAAAAAGCTCTGACTACATTCACTCCTTTAATGATCTCTTCATGCTTCCTGGCTTTAAATACCAGTTACATGCCAAGGTAATAGAGACTGTGGTCTCTACAAATCCATGCAAGTTAAACAAAGAGGTTTATTGAAGGTTCAATGCAGTTGAACTGGGAACCCTGGAGATCATAAAAATGAACTCACAGGTTCGAGGTTCAGCGATCATGGAAACATTGTTATAGGATTTACACAAAGAATGGGAGCTACAATATTCTGGTTGGTTTTCAGACAATCAAGGAAGTTAGAAGCAGACTTTCCAAAGGCAGTGGCTGATCAATGATTGGGGGAGAGATCAGAGCTCCGTGACTTAGCTTGCAGCAGTATGTACAGGGAGGTGGGTACACAGGATCACGGGGCAATGACAGAACATGCTGGTCTAGGAAGGTGCTATTAAAATCTTTCTCAAGCATGTCTTTGGAAGAGGTCCACCATGAAGGATATTTTTTGATAATGTGTGTCAGAACTCTCTGGGAACAGGTTGTGACACCCTGCTTATATATGCCCACAGAGGAAGAATACTTCTGGGAACAGGCTGTGATGATACCCAGCCTCTGCTAGACCCCAGAGGAAAAATAGTTGCTTGAGGGAATATTTTTAAGGATGACTAACAGTTAAGAATAATAGAGAAAAGTTGCTGCATTTAAATGTTTTTTCTCAAGGCTGGGCCAGATTCCCCTACTTATACCAAATTGCCTCGTATAATTTTGAAATTTTCTGTCATATTCCTTCTATTTGATCAAGGAATTCTAGGGAAATTCTCTGATCACATTTTAAAGAATGCCTTCTGCACAGATTTGGGACTCCCGGTGTCTGATTATCTATTATAAGCCTTTGAGATTCCAGGTACTATTATTATTCCAGGTTTTACTAATATCTTCACTGTGCCATGGCTTTGGCACTCTGCTTCAGTGATCCCTTGGGAGAGAAAGAATTTAAATAGGGCTATATTAGGAGGACTGTTTGGTCATTCAAGGGAACTGGTCTAAGAAGTTCAAATTTATCTGAACAATAGCTTTTGTCAGAATACATTATATTTCTCAAGGGTGATTGGTTTTCTGGGTCACAACATTGGAGGGGTCTTTCATATAGCATTTAATAGTTCCAATATGAAGTATAATGACTCTAAACATCATTAATCTAGTTAACGATATAGACTTGGCTCGTGATCTGATTCTTAAGTAGTTAAAAAATCCTTAAGAAAGAGCAGTTTGACATGCAGACATTTAAAATCTAGTAGCTTTGTGGCAGATTTATCTGATAGGTTGTTCTATTTCTGGTGAGGCAGCAGGAGACACTGGCAATGGTCTGGACTCTTAAAGAAGAGTTTGGATAAGTGCAAAGTAAAGGTAATTCTTTATCCAGTACAACTTTAGTTAAAGCAATGTCATGCATAACTTGTTATGATCTACACAGTTGGAGACTTTTCTCAGTAAAACACAAGTAAACATCGTTCTGGTATTGTCTGCTTTCAGCTAAGACCCATTTGACATCAGCAATGATAACTCGTTCCATGATATCTTCATAATTAACGGCAATATGCTGTTGATATACTGCTTCATCTGTATTTGAATTATGCCCTGTACAATTTTACTTTTACATGAAATTAATGATATTGGTCGATAATTCTGCATTTGGGGGGGGTCATCTTTCTAAGGCATGGACGTGGATATGGATCTTTTCTATCAGTTGACCAGGTAGCTCTAGTCCAAATTTTTTGGCACAGACTAGTGAGTGCTTCCAGCATTGCATCAGTTTTTGGAAACATTTCAGTAAAGTGGTAGGAAAATGACAAATAGATTTTTTTTAAATTCAAGAATATCAATACGTGTTAAGAGGCCTCAGAGTAATGCCCTGTCCATTAAAGGTTTTTAAAAAATTAGATTTCTTAATTCTTTTTTTTCAACTTTATGATGAGTAAGGATGTTCACATTCTTGGTCTAATGTATGCTTTCATCATAGAAATGGATTTCAAAAGGGACTACTAAAAGACTTAACATACATTGGACTGTCATATTAACCACCCAAGCAGGATAAAGCCCCAGGTATGGGATTCTTCTTTTGGGTTTGGATTGGCAATGTTTGGGGGTCTTGATTATCTACCTAAAATAGGTGTTTATATGGGGCACATATTAGGGCAGTTCAAGTGTGGAGAGGGATGGTTTGATTTATTAGTTCAAGCCAGTTTTCCATTAGATTGTTATAAATATGTGGTTGTCCTACTCAGCCAATTCAACATTTAAAAAAAAACCCAAAAAACATTTTCTCTAGTCATGCTGTTTAAATTGCTTGTAAAAATTGTTTTCAAAGTCTGGGAGGAGCATTAAATATAATAATAATCCTTCATTTTAATATGGGGTAAACGGAAACATGGGATGTGGGCTGGGACAACGCCAGGTGATGCCATAGTTCTGTATGAATGGCTTGTTCAGAGGTTATTTTAAGAGTTGATGATAGCAGAGAGGACAAAACTATAATTCAATATAAGCGAAGCTAATGGATAGAAAGTTTTAATATGACCAGATTTTGGAATTTGATGGCAAATCCAACAATGAGACAGGGCACCATTACTAGCTATTGACTGGGCTATTGCAACAAAAACATTCCTTTGTCATGCATTAATGGTAGTTATGGGGAAGAGTAAAAGAACATTAATACAAGCTCCCTAATACAAAATTATTAACCAAAATTAATACGATAAGGCCAGGCAATTATTCTTATTTCAAAAATAAATTCCTCCTTGATTTAAAGGTCTATATATTTTTTAATAGAAAAACCGTGGCTATTATGATTAGTGAAATAACAATGATCAATATTATCTAATAATTCTAGCATGAAAATAGTTAAAAATCACTAACTTATGAATTGTGATGTACAGAATAAGGTCAATTTAAAAGATAAAAGTATTAAACAGGAGGCAATGACCTCTAGGGGGTACATAAGGAATTAACACTGTAGAAGAAAATTTCCCAACATCAGGATAAGACAATTTTAATGTAGTCCCTTAAGGATTACTCACACTTGTACGGGCAGATGTTTAAGGTTTCACAGCCTGCATATGTGAAGGAAATAAAGGAGTGCCTATAAATCAGAAATGGAGCCCTGGTGGCGTAATTGTTAGTCACTGGGCTGAGATCTGACCCAGTTTGAAACCACCAGCGGTTCCTCGGGAGAAACATCGGGCTTTCGAATCCCCTACACATTTACCGCCTGGGGACTCACAGGGGCAATTCTACACCCTGCGCTATAGGGTAGCTATGAGTTGGCATCAACTCAATGGCAGTGAGAGAGATAATTTAGAAAGTAACAGAATTCAGCTGATAAATTCTGTTTCAAAAGATGTAATTTCTTTAGGGGTTTTCATATAATGTACCTTACCAGAGGAGAATAGCAACTTGGTGAAGGATAATCAAGATAAATAGGAAAGCTAAGATTATAAAGCACATTTCAGAAATTTTAGCCATCCGCACAAGTCTTGTTCTGTGATCCTAAGTAAGTCATCCACTAGTTATATAAATTCAGGTGGCTGAATTTCCGTTTGGGTCTTCCGTATTGTTTGGAAAATCTAGGTAGACACTACAGCCTTTTCCAATTGGAGAGATGACTCCCAGTCCCAATTCTGTAATTTAGTGGGACTAGAATTACTAAGAATTATATATAACCCATTTCAATAAGACTTTAGGAAATCTCTTTGCTGATGACTTTTCAAATATTTTTTTAAATTTTAATATATGTCCTCTGGGACAATATCAGACAGATTTGGGTATATGGGGTTTTAGTCATCAAAGACGTTTTAGATCTGTGAAAACATTTCTTACAGTATTATTTTAAAGATGTGCAATGTTTATTATTAGAATCAGTATGTATAAGCAGCATCAGGGGGATCATTTACTTTTGAAGAACCACCCCTTGCCATCACGGTCATTTCAGCATATATTTCTTGGGAGTCCCTGACATTTCTGAAGTTATTTTTGCCAGAATTTTGACATGAGCAAAAACATTTAATTTATAGGATTTTTTTCCCCATAGGATGTTTTGTAATCAACATGTTATTAGTTAGTGAAATAACTGATTCTGACATTAAGGGGAAAACAAAAACAAAATGATTTCCCAGACCTATAAATTGCACCTGTTTTTGAATCGTCTTCAAAAATGGTTGCAGGTCTACCTCAACAGAGCCTGCTAGAAATTCAAGCCAGATTCACGAGAGGACATGGAACGTGTGATATCATTGCTGACATCACGCAGAGTTTGGCTGAAAGCAGAAAATACCAGAAAGATGTTTACTTGTATTTTATGGACTGCAAAGACATTAGACCATTAGCAAGCTAATGATAACGTTGAGAAGAATGGGAATTCTTCTTAAGGATACTTCATTGTGCTTATGGGTAACCCGTGGAAAGACAAATACTCAGATGTTTGAACAGCATAAAGACATACTGAATGATTCCAAATGAAGAAATCTGTGCTTCAGGGTTGTATCTTTTCACTATACTTATTCAGTCTGTAGCTGAGCAAATAATTTGCGAAGC